GGGAATCCTGTCGGGAATCGGGGGAAACGGATCCTTTAGGGAAAGGTAAGCACATAAAACAGCCCCAAACAGAGACTCTGAGCTGATCGCCGGGCTGCTGCAGAGAGAGAGAGAGAGAGAGAGAGAGCGCACTGACTGACTGACTTCTGCTGCCTCTGCGTCTGTGCTCCTGCTGATAATCAATCAATCAGTCACTAAATCAGCTGATCTCGTTCCCGCAGCAGAAGACAAGCGTGCGTGGAGTCTGGCTCACTTCCGTGTGTTCCTGCTTCTTCACATCTGGACGTGTTTATCATCTCACGCGCGCTTTAGAGGAGCATGCTGGGGGAAAACTGGAGCTCGAGGTCGGTGTATCTGCAGATTTCATGACAGATAATAACAGTTTGAGAAACTAACCAGTTCAATGCAGGCTGGAGCGGGGGGCGTGGCGAACGGGTCGGGGGCGTGGCGGAATATGAGGGGGGCGTGGCGAAAGGTTAGGGTTACTCCGAGCTAAAGTAATCCAGCTCTGCTGTGCTCTTGCAGGTTCTTCGCTGGTTTGCTGGTTCTCCTCCAGGCCAGCTCATATGTGAGCAGTGCGGACCACGACTCCAGACCCAACTTCGTCCTGATGATGGTGGATGATCTGGGCATTGGAGACATCGGTTGCTATGGAAACGACACCATCAGGTAAATCACTGACACCGAAAAGAATAATTGATTTGAAAATGAAGACCCTGTCACCCTCGTGTTGTTTCAGACCCGTGTGGAACATGAACACTTCATGCACCTAGAGATTTCTACAGATCAACACATATTATTATTATTATTATTTTTTTTTTTTATGCAAGCGCCCAATTATCTTTAAGGAAAACTGGCTATTAGGTATAGTTTTATTGTTGCTTTCTGACAAAACAATAACTGCAAGATAATTCATTTTCATGCAACTCTTTTCTAGAAAACAACATGTATAGTTTTTTATGGATGCAGAGTATTTTTAAGTTAAGGAAGTAAGTTATTAAAAAAACATTTGTTGTTGCTTTTTGACAAAATAATGCAAAATGCAAAGTAATTAGATTATGACCAATTACAAAATGCTGTATTTTATATGCATTAGGCATATTTTGATTATAGCACTAATAAAATACAATAGAATAAATTGCTGTAAAAATGGAATGATTGTGCAAACTATATGCAAAACAAGTTATTTACTTATTAACACTGATCTGTGTTACCCAATGCAAATATCGCTAAGGGTCAGATTGATTATTAAACAAATCTCTGCTCTCATAGTGGCCACGTCTGTCAAACTCCAAAAACGACAGAAAGACATGCATTTATGCTTTTAACCGAAGCGACTTGCATTGCATTCCCCGGGAATGGAACCCTTGAGCTAGGTGTTGCAAGCGTATGAGCTCCAGGAACACTATGAAAACATAACTCCAGTGCTGTGTTCTGCTGGAGTGGTAGAATATAAAGAAGATTCTTCAAATCGTCTTAGATGAACGGCGTCACACGGGTCTGAAACGGGCTCAGCTGCTGGATTCATCAGTACCTGTCTCTGTGTCTGAAGCACACCAAACGTGGACCGTCTGGCGGCAGACGGAGTGAAACTGAGCCAGCATCTCGCCGCCGCTCCGCTCTGCACTCCCAGCAGAACCGCCTTCATGACGGGACGCTACGCTCTGCGCGCCGGTGAGACTTCATCCGGTCCTCTCTGAAGTACAGCACTCGATGGACGGATAATGCCATGCAGTAATCACTTAGTGTTTCTGTCTCCTGTCTCGTTCTCCAGTACAAATATCTAAACACTTCATTTACTAAACCTTAGGTCACTTCAGATTTTAGTGACGTATTGCATCAAAAAAACTCATTCGAGAGTAAATGTGTACTTCTCAAAAGATATGGTGTAATTGTAGGAACCTATATCCAATATATGTTTGAAAATCATATATATTTTTTAGACAATATATTTGGGGGCAGTTTTTGTCAATACACTGTTTTACATAGTTTACATAATTTACAAGATACATTTACGGGAGACTTATGAAGATATTAAGTCTTGTTTTCTGAAAAATGCGGTAAAATTAAGTGAGTCTTATAGTATCTGCCAATGGAGTCAGAAAGATTTTTCGCATTTTAAGCAAAAACTCACTTCGTTTTGAGACTTTTTTTTGGACTTAGTTTATTAATGTGATTTTGCTTCTCCAGAAAATGTGTCTTGATTTGAAAATGTTTAAATATTTGTGCACTGTAAAACAAGACGGCGTCATTTTTTGTAGTGTATCTGTCCAAAAACTGCTCAAAAATATAATAATAAATATGAAATGCATTATATATATATATATATATACAGTGGGTACGGAAAGTATT